TATAGTTTAAATTTAATATGTATGTATGTATGTATGTATATATATTATATATATATATATATATATATTTATATGTATCTATCTATATATACAATTATATATATTTATATGTATATGTATATGTGTGACATATATATACATATATATATATATATATGCATGTGTGCGCCTGTGCGCGTGTATGTGCATATATATATACATACATATATATATGTATAAATATATATATGTGTGTGTGTTTGTGTATGTATGTATGTAAATATGTATATATATATATATATATCATGTATATATATATTTATTTATATATATATATATATGTGTGTGTGTGTGTCTGTGTCTGTCTGTCTGCGTGTGGGTCTGTGGGTCTGTGTGGTTGTCATTCGGTACAAGCGAGTAATCACGGAGACGTTCCAACTCAGGTTAACGTTTATCTCAAAAGAATTATAGGTTTATTGACACCGCGTTTATTGTGTTCATTGTTTTCCAACAGGATAAGAAAGACGATGTGCTTGTCGGTGTGAAATCAACGGCATTGAGGTGAGTGCGACGAAATCGTTCATGTCCCTTTATGCACTCGTAGACACTATATTTGGGACTAGTGTGCTCTGGTGTCGTACATGAGCTGTAAACACGCATGTGTGTGTGTGTGGCTTTCCGATGACTATGTTTGTCTGTGATAATAGAGGAGTTGTAGAGCGACTTTTAAGATGTCTAGGGTTGGGCAATGGGGTTGAAATAGTGGACATGTACATGTATCACGTGTGTGTGTATGCGCCACACACACGCCACCAATTGCATATCAACCGGTATAGGCCATCATCCTGGGTATAACAAGTCCTTCGTGCGTAAGAGTCTTGGCTAACTAAGATGATTTTGCCTGCTGTTCTGCGCTGGTCCTCAGTTTTTTATTTTGGAATACTAGTTGCCCTGCATTTTCTTATCCATGAGTGAGTGTATACATGGGTAATATATATATATATATATATATATATAATATATTTATATATTGCAGATTATTCGATATGTAAAAAGTTGATCAAAAATATTTATATATGCGACCATAGTTAATTTCAGTTTGATATACACGTGGTCGTTGTTCTTGATTTCTGACCACATGCCCGTAGGCATATATACACGCACAGAGTTTGTTGCAATTTACGATTAAATCATATATTTAGTTACTATTGTTGATTTATTTGTTCATGTTGACCTATGTACTTTGAGTGTAGTATCAGATCAGTAAAGAGAAGAAACGAATACTGATAATGTAGAAAACAGATGCGTGTGCCCGATAGATCGGTTGAGTGTATCAATTGATTACTATATATAACTTTCTGCAGATTCGGAGACCAAACTCGGGCTTATTTGGCGGGTTTCAGCGGATTGACGGTGGCCGGTCTATTTTTAGCAGGACATAATGCGGTATGTACTGAGCTTTGACCATGTTGCAGATATAAATTTGTTTTAGGGTTTAGGGTTAACCAACCCCATATACACACACATATCCGTATGCAGAAAGACCCATTCATATTACCGTCCGTATCGATTGTCCCTCAGGGGATGGGTATGCCCTACGACATTGCTGTGACCGCCTCAGCCGCACACCTCACGTGGCAGGTGGCTACGGCCAATTTCGACAATCCAAAAGACTGCATGGACAAATTCGTGTCCAATAATTGGATTGGGTGCATGGTGTTTGGCGGGATTTTGGCCAACCAGCTTCTCGTGTAGTGTCGCGACGCGCATGGGGAGTAATAAATGGAACTGCTGCACTGATCCTGTTTGTCCATGTTGCGGTGATAGGTTCGAATATATATATACTCGCTGATACAAAGTTTTGCGAAGCGGATGCAGTTACATAGTGCTAAGAGGTGGAGTGTACAGTGTCTTGTGGTACTTGGCATCTTCCCTGACTTTCATTATGGCGGCCTTCGTCGCACACGTGGAGCTACTACGCCTCATGCCTTACGAGTTTACGAACATTCTCGGCATGTCCAAATATGAGGACATAACACCTCTACTACACGGTAGACGGGTCTATGGCTCGAAAGGGCAGGCAACTTTCAATTGATGGGCCACACGGGTGTACATCAACCAATTCTCAGTACATTAAGTGTGCACTACGCTATGTTCTCAGTTGATAACAGTCCTTGAACATGCCACTAAACTGATGGGTGCCAATTCAACTGGTCTCTGTAGCTATATATAGGTATAGCTATACAATTTCGAACGACTACTCAGCTGAACACGTACTTAGAATTGTGAGCATGTATGTACATCCATGTATATATATATATAAATGTATATACATACAAAGATATAAGGTTGACTATGTAAGATGCTTGTATATACATCGTTTACACACACATATATATATAAATATATATCATGTATGTATGTAAGTATATATATATATATATATATATAAATCTTTGCATCATATTACGCCAAACTGCTGATATCTACACCCTTAGTACATCCTGCCCAGGCAGGTGTATACATTTATTTATCCCTTCCGTGGTGGGTGCGGATATAGTATATGCCCCACCACGCAAGGCTACCTATTCGCCATGGCCTGTACTTCGGATGTCTTGCAGTTTATATCCTGTTGGATTGGAAAGATCGTAATTGAACCTTGGTGAGTACGTGCAAATATAGAAAGTTATGTACTTCATCTCCAGAGTAACTGACAAACGAACAATAAGTATATACTTTGTAGATATGTGTCGCATAGCTTGTGATATATATCCTGAGACATCGGAAAGCTCGTGATTGAAATATCACCACAAGCATTTTATATTCTATATATTGTACTTGATATCCCAAGAGATGAACAAGGACACAGTTGGCACATACTGAGCCAGTATGTGTATCGAATGTCTGGCAGCGAATATTCTGTACTATGTGGCTGCACTTGAATGTACGCATTGCGATGTGTGACTGCAGCTTAGACAAAGGTCAAACACTTCTACAACAACGTGCAGAAGTGGCTTCACTGGCGCTACAATATATACAGTCTCTGAATTTATATATACGTATATATGAATATATATATGAATATATATATATATATATATATATATATATATATATATATATATATATATATATATATATGTGTGTGTGTGTGTGTGTGTGTGTGTGTGTGTGTATA